GAGATGTACGACTTCCGCCATAAGTTAAAGGCCTTCTAATAATTTAAAAAACCGGTTAAATAAGGCTACCCTCGGCAAAGCAAACAAAGAAGGGCTTCGATAAAATCAGCCCCTCGAATAATTTAAAGGCTTCGATAATATCAGCCTTCGAAAAAACCTCAAGAGGTATTAAATTATCGTAACACAAATCGATTGCATCTAGGGTTCCGATCGATTGAACCCTCGAAAAACCCAACGGGTACAAAAACACATGCTAAGGCATAAAGAAATTTTCACTAAGTCCTTTAGCCGAAAAGTGGGGAAAATTATAGCCGCCATAGAGGCCGAATTGGCCCAACTTAAAGAGCCTAAGGGCCAACCTAAAAGAGCCTAAGGGCTGATATAAAAGAGCCTAAGGGCCGATTTGGTAAGCCTAAAAGGTCAATACAATTAGAGTTCGAGACCTCGCTCTCACTCAATTCGAACCCAAGGGTTCGATTACCCCAAACCTAAACAAGTAATGGTTTGATCATGGCTCGGGGACTCACCATTACCCGGTATGAGCCCGTAAAGGTCTATGCCCAAAAGCTCGAACTTATGCGAACTCGATCATAACAGTTTCGAAGAAAACACCTGAGGTAAAATATCTAACACACAGTTAAAGAGGATGAAGTCACTGCAAAAATTTCACAAGGCAAGAAATATCGAAATTCTTATTTTATATATGTTGAAAAAGATATATACAAAGGACCGATAACAGGTCTTACAAAAAATAACGATACAATAAGGAAGGAAAATCCTATCTACGCCCAGGGTTGGTCTCTCCTTCGGGAGTAGCTTCCCCTTCGGGCCCAGCCTCATCATCGGACCCGCTCTGGCTGCCTTCATCAGCGTCATCGTCATCGAAGGAAACAAGGTACTTAGCATCGGTCTCGAGTGCTTTTGCTTGGGCTATCTCCTCGGATAGTTCGAAACCTCGAGCATGGATCTCTTCGAGGGTCTCCCTCCGGGATTGACACTTAGCCAAATCACTGACTTGTTTCTCCCGGTTGGAGGTTTCCCTTAGTTCCATTTGAGCAGCCTCAGTGTCCTTTAGATACACAGCGACTATCTTGTCAGTCGTGGCCTTCGTCTTCTCGACCTCGGCCCTGGCTTCAGCAACCTCAGCCCCAGCTACGGCAAGTTCGGCCTCGAGCTCTTCGATCTTGGCCTGGGCCAGATATTTTACTTTGATTCCTCGGAGCTGAGTCTCAGCCGATTCCAGGTTTGCTAAGGCATCCTCTTTCTCACCAGCAAGTCGATCCATGTTTCCCTTCCAGTGGTTGCAGTCGGCCTTAACTTGATCGACCTCTCCTCGAAGCTGCCCGATCATATTCAATTTTTGCTGCAGCTGAGACACTGAAGTGTTAGCCTCCACATTTGGGTCAACTAGACCATACTTCTGCAAAATGATGGTTACCTGCTTGTCTAGCTCGGCCTCATTTTGACGAGCTTTGGACAAATCTGCCCGGAGGTCCTTGAGCTCCTCCTCCTTTTGGCTGCAAAGGAGCCTCAGAGCCTTCTCTTCATATGAGGATCTCTTGAGCTCGGCCTCACATTGGCTCAGCTCGGCCCTAAACTTGGCAATAGCCTACACGGAAAAAAGAGATGTTAGTTAATGCAGAAGGAGAAGAAAAAATTTGCAACAATAAGAGTTAGTGCTTACCCGAGAGAAGAGACGATGAACCTCTTCAAAGAGGATAGATGCGTCATTGAGGTCGGCGGCATCTTCGACCCTAGTAAAGCAATCCCGGAAAGGATCTTCTTTAAGGACCCTGTTTGGGTCGGGCGTTCACAGAGCTCGAGCGTCCTCTATTGCCTCCTCAGAATAAGATGGTAGGGGAGGGAGTGACCTATTGTCGTGGCCCCGAGCAGGTCGCTCGGGGTGCTCTGTTCAACTTCGGGGTTCTCGGTACTTGCCCCCTTCGGTGTACCTGTTGAAGGCAGGGGAATAATCCCGATCTCAAGAGAGTCGGGGGCCTTGCTCGCATCTTTCTTTGGGACCTCCTCTTCACGAGGCAGGGTTTTCGGTTCAGAAGACTTGACTGCCTCAGTTGGCTTCCTAGTTCGGGTCACCAACACCGAATCTTCGCCCTCGTCCTCTTCTTCTTCATTCAGTTGGTGGATCGAGTCTATGTCCACTTGAATGAGTTTCCTCCTTTGCCTTCGAGCAGGGGCTCTCTTATCATGGGGGTCTTCAGGCTTCGAAGCCCTTTTTCTCTTGTTATCTTTCCTCGATTTTGGGACTGGGGACTTAGTCTCTTCCCCGGACGGGGCTGGCCTCATCTCAGAGACATCTCCAATGCCTGCATAAGTGAAAAATAAGCATAAGTGAGATAACATCTCCAATAAAAGGAAAAGCATCAAAAACTCAGGGGAAGAACTAACTGTGGTGCTTGGCTTCCCATTTGCCCTTCGATAAGTCACGCCATTTGCGCTCGTCATACGAGGAGGTCGCGGCTAGTTTTCGGACCCAACCTTCGAGGTTAGGGATCGCACGGGCATCGTAGAGACAGCTGCAAAAAAGGTAAAGGCATTACAAAAGGCAGGAATGGAGTATAAGAAGATACTGGGAAAGGAACTTCACTTACGATTGGGATTCCATATCTTCGGGAACGGCATTTTTCCCTTAGGGATGACGTCCGAGGTCCTCACTGGGACGAACCGGCTCATCCAGCCTCTGTCCTTATCCTCGTCATTACTAGCAAAGAAGGCTTTGCTTGATCGACGTTGTAGCTTGATCAACCCTCAAAAAAGCTGAGGCCGATACAGTCAAATGAGGTGATTGAGGGTAAACTCTAATCCCTCGGCCTTGCTGGAACGGAGCATAATCACGATACGCCAGAAAGAGGGACGGATCTGGCCGAGGGTAACTTCATATCTTTTGCAGAAGTCAATCACGACTGGATCAAGGGGACCCAGTATGAAGGAGTAAGTGTAAACACTTAAGAACCCCTCCACATGAATAGTAATGCTCTCCTCGGGGTTGGGGATCTGTACCGTGACCTCGTCCCCCCAGCCACAGTCTTTCTTCATGGCCTTGAGATGCTTCTTCGTTATCGAACTAATATATTGGGATACATGCTCGCATCGGCCTGGGATTGCAAGGGGATTTTCAACGTTGAAGTCTTTCTTTAACACGCAGGGGCCGGGAATAATCTCGTGAAGGGCCGGGAAGAGGAGGAGGAAGCTTTCTCTTTTTGAGGTACTGTCTTTGAAGTTTTCGCCATTAATTTGAGTTAGAGGAAATCACTACTAAAAAATCTGGTTTTAGCGACGGGCAAATTTTGTAGCTAAACAGAAAAATTCATCGCTAATCTTATTTAGCGACGGATTAGCGACGGATTATCAAGAAATTCTGCTGGCTACGGGCAATTTAGCGACGACGTTCGCAGCTTAATCCAGTTTTTTTGTAGTGAATGGAGATAGGCGGAGTTGGGTATTTTCTGACACTAAAAGGAACGAGAGTAACGGATAATGAGAGAACAGAGATGAAGAGAAGGAGATATAGAAGAAGTTCAGAGGTGGTTTGGAGATTGAAGTAAAGCTCTCTCCGAAATTAAACCTTGTATTTATAGGTGAGCGGTGACGGTTCAACGTCGCTAGTGGCCGACCACCACTGGAGAAGCATTTAATGTTTTGGGAAAGCGAACCGCCGGGATGTTTCGGTCACTTCGAGTGCCTACGTCACGGGAATGGCGTCATCATCAAGGGCTCCGGAAAATCGAGGTTCAAATCGTTTCTTATCATTTTACCCTAAGAAATGCGAGGACTATCTGTATACGGTAAAATCATGTGCCCACGATTTTGTGGGCTCGAGGGCTCACATCGAGAAACAAAGGGCTCGCATCGAGGGATAGACTCAGTATGGACCGAGTTCGAGGGCAGAACACAAGGCTCGAAGAGCGAAGTGCACGATGAGATCGAAGCAGAATATGACCAACCCCGAGATGGTGTCGTTATGGGTTTGTAACAGAAAGAGCAAGATTCTCGCTACGTCCCCAAAATCATGCGTAAATTCTGGAATAGATTCGTACGAGGTAGTACGAATCCGTACTAGGCGGTTATACAGCTGTCCCAATAAGATTCTTCACTGTAAATAGAAATGTACCTTATTTAGGGTTCTCCTATTATATAAAGGGGACCCCAATCATTTGTAACATCATCAATTATTGACAAACGAATATACTCTCTTACTTTTCTTGCTCATTGTTCACCAGAATTGTCCTCTAACTTTATTGTTCTTATTTTATTGTTCTTGACCTACCTCGAGGCCACCTTAGCTCGAGGTCAAGACTGGCTTGCACACTGGTTTGATGTTACTTACTTCTTTCATTTATACGTAAGATTTCTTGGTTATTAATTAGTATTGGCTAAATCACATACTTTTAAAATCATAAAAAAATTTAATTACTACTTGTATTTTTCGAGGTAAACATGATCAAACTTCACACAATTTGACTCTCGATAAGCGAAATGTGTAATCTAAATTGAAACGGGGAAGATGTAGTAGTACTTCAGAAAATGTACACTTTAAGTAACTCATTAAGATCACCCTAGAGTGTGGTGGGAAGAAAGTGTTTTGTCCTCTACGGACTTTAATCGAGTTGGATCGAAATAAGTCATCAGGTTAATAAATTTTGGATACTGAACAAATAATCAATAAAAAAACTCATTAAATACAACTATATACACCATTTAAGATCAGTTTAAATTCGTAGTTACTATACTTGATATCTTTAGCTTTATTCGCATCTTTCCCTAAGAAGACGAGTCAAACAAAACATTGATATTTGATAGCAAAAGCCAATAGGAGTTGGCATGCATATTTCTTCTTTTATTTCACCTTTATTCATTAAATACCCTAGACACAACAACAACAACAACAACAAATCCAAAAAAATCAAGGACATCTTGAGATCATCGAAACTCAGATTAAAGGACAGTTGCAAAGATAGATAAATCTGATAAACACAATAAAATAGCACCAAATATTACAATTTTATATATAATTAGTTACCTCTTACAGGGCACAAATATTACCTAACGCCACTGCGAGGAAAATTACAATTATAGAGTTCTGAGATTTACAAACACAGAAACCTATTACACGTCACCAGGTTATGATCCACACAAAAAAAAAAACGATTCCAAGATTCCTGAACTTCTGTATAAAAATTTACTTCAGACAATCTAGCTAGCTAGCTCCGCCTAGACTTATATTCACAACCTACTGTCTCGTTTTTACCTTAGTATTGACGAAGTTAGAGATTCGAAAACATCTTCATCACAAGGAATTGTAAGACCCATGTCATGATCAAAACCAAATTCTTCTTCTGCACGTTGAAGGAGGCTACGAAATTCAGGTCTTGACAAAATGGAAATTGGAACAATATGTCTTGTTCTGTTTTCTCCAACGTAAACTACAAAATGCCCTTTTGGTACGTCTAATGGAAGCCCTAATTGTTCGTCATTATATGAGCCATTTTTCTTTCCCAAACTTGAACACCTTTTCAAGATTTGCTTCAACATTGCTGTTTGTGACAACTTGTTTGATTTCCTAATGGCCATTGTTTGAGGGAAAGAAAGTTTAGAAACCTTTTGGAAGAGAAAGGAGAGAAAAAAGAAGGATTTATAAGACTTGGGAAATTGAGTGTTGTGGAAATGAAAGGAGTTTGAGAGGTATTTAATTAGAGAAGTTTTGAACTAACACCATCCCCCTATATCCCCCCCCCCCACCCCCCACCAGGGGAGGTGAGAGGAGAATTTGAACTAGAGAAAAAGAATAAATGAAAAGTTTAAATTCTTAATATTGATAGAATATAAAATATTTATATTATTATGTCAAAGTTGACCTATATAGACAGTGATAACATACTTCAACCGAATAAATTGATTTGATATGGTGTAAAAGTTCTTAGCACTGTCTATATATATAAAATAAATTTTATAAAATAAAAGTAAAGAAAATTAAAGGGGAGAGAGAAACAAAACCATGTGGGTTTGGGGTGTTTTCGGAGGGATGAAAGGCTCAAATGCAAATGTTCATGTTGGAAGCAAATGCCTTGGTTTTATTACCTGTTGTAGCCTTGCATCAAAACATATTGGTCCCTTTAACTCTGTTTTTTATAATATCAAAATATATTTTTTTTCTTTCCCAAAAAATAAAAAATTGGAAAATAATGAAGAAAAAAATTATAATAAAAAATTCCAATCACTTTGTTGGGAAAAGACATTGTCCTGTTTCAACTGATTATAATGCAATTCCTTTTTTCCAATCACATTCTTTGTCTTGTGTTAGAATAGAAAATGGAGCAGAGACTAATACTATTATCCCTAACTTGCCTATTTAATTTTGTTGTTGACTTGACTACACAAAATAATTGATTTGAAATTTCAGTTCGAATACTTTCCTTTCTTAATATAAAAATATATTGGCTGTAACAAAATCTGGCTATTTGTTTTCAAAATTAAGCATCTAAATTAACTTATCAAAGTCAACAAATGCCTAACGTGTTACTTAGGACAACTAAATAATCAAGTTTCATATGTACGACAGACCAAATTCATACGATGGAGCTTAAATGGAAGTAATTAGAATTTTTTTTACTAAGCCCGATATTATCATTACAAGGGTAGAAAATTGGACGTCATTGGACTTGCTAATTTGACGTAAAAAAGATTCAGAAACTTTGAGAAACCACTATGTTTTAGTGGTTATTAGCTAGTTATAGCTACCATTTACTATATTACTTTCTATAGCTATGTTTTCAGATTCTTTAGAGTGTATTTGATGTATTTAAGCTACTGTATTCATGAATACAGTAGCATTTCTAGGCGGGAAACAGGGGATTACAGCTAGACGGATTTTTGTATTCGAGTGTTTTCGACTGTATTCATGGCGTGAAACATGGGATTACAGCTGGACAGATTATTGTATTCGACTGTATTCACGGCGTGAAACAGGGGATTACACTGTTTTTAAACAGAAAGTGAATCAATTAATATAATAGACTCCTAATATAACTCAACAAACTCAATTATAACACACAAATTTTGTATTTCCAGTTATAAAAAATATTCTCAACCTAAAACACCGCAAAAGCATAGCAATCTTCAAAGAAATTATATAATACATCTGAATACATAAATTATATTAATTAAAAAAAAACATATGAATACATTCATGGAATATAGCTAGACAGTGAATACAATGAAATACATAGAATACAGCGGGATACATTGAAATACAATTAAAAAAAAGACAATAAATACAATGAAATACATAGAATACAGCGAGATACATTGAAATACAATGAAAAAAAGACAATGAATACAATGAGATACATTGAAATACATTGAAATATATTAACACAAAATTCAAGTTGCTCAGCCCCCAACTCCGTCGTCTTTGTTCAAGAACAACCCTAATGTCGTCTCGTTGAAGCAGCATCAGTATCCAGTCCTCGCTCGCCGTCACCGTTGCCTCCGGTTGCCGACGATTAGCACGTAATTACCGGATTGAAGACAAAGCATGTGATGAAGGGGAGAAGAAGAAATTTAGAAGCCGGTTTAATAGACTGCCTCCATCGACGGATTCTTCTCCATCTTCGGAGGAGAAGTCGTGTTCTCCGCCGCTTATCAAAAGTAGAAGCAACAGAAGCCGAAGTCCAGTGCCTCATCTTCAGCCTTGATCCGACGGAGGAGAAGACATCGGGAAGTAGAGAGAGAGAGAGGGAGAATAGATATGGGGTAGGGGATAGGAGAAATTTGAGGGGATATGAGAGAGAAAAATAATACAAAGCTTATTTTATGGCTTAAGGGTAGGAGGTGACCATAAATAAATATTGGCTATAAAAAATCAAAAGGTAGCTATGGAATATAATTTTTTAAAAGGATATTTATTTAAAATAAATAAGATACCAACCTTTGCTATAGGAGGTAACTTATTCAAAAAGATTACCTAATACATTAAGCTGCATTTGATGAACAAAGAAATGGCTAAGATAATTTGCAGTCTGTTTGGTATTAAGGAAAATGAAAAAAGGAAAAAGAAGAGAAAGTGTTGGTTTCCATACCAAAGATTTAATTATCGAGCATTGACTCGGTGTACAAAGTATTCCACATTTATGCATGACCCGCTGAAGGGCCTCCCCCCATGGGGTGTGATGTAGGTAGTCTACCCTGATGCGAGCATCAGTGGCTGATTTCACGGCTCGAACTCATGACCTATTGGTCACATAGAAACAACTTGATCATTGCTCCGAGATTCCTCCTCTATGTGCATTGACAACATATGCGTTTTTATATCATCAGATTAAGTTAATATACATTAACATGTGACTTCCTATGTAGCAAGTCTGATATGCTAACATGACCAATAGAGTAATTATAACCTGTTAAATTGCACTAATATAACGTACATTTTTCTAGAACTATCAGGGTATACAATTTAAATATTTATTCAAGCATAATGCTAGAGATAACAAGTTGACAAAGTTGGTTGCAGAGCCGAAAGTGTAATGTTTTATCTAAAAGCTTCCATTCTAGGAGAAATATTGTAATCCTAAGAGATAAAGATTTCTGACATTTTGGATCTCTCTTCCCCTGTTATGTCCATTTCATTGCAGCCATCTCTGTTATATATGAAACTGCCGCATACATAATAAACCTAAACCTAAACCTTGTCCAATGGGGCCGCACTTGAACAATGGCCACATTACGAGATATAGCAAGACACTCCCATGATAAATCGACTCATTAACCTTGTAAAACCAGAAATAATTAATAATCCATCACTTACTAATTACTTACCTTTGTTTACCCTAAAAAATGGATAACAATTAAACTTATAATGTGATTTTAAGGATACGTGATTTCACCTAATACCAATTGATAAACGTAAAGATAAGTGATGGAAATTGACAATAATGTAAAACAAATTAATGTTTGGACAGAGCCCTCGAGCTAGTACACCCTCGAGCTAGTTGTGCAATGATAGTTAAAACGCAACAAGCTGATAAACAAGATAATGTAACTTAAAGAGTGAATATTGTATTGCTTTAATCTGCGTCCATGTAAGGTGCTTACAAATGATGAGGACTCCTCTTTATATAGTAGAGGAATCCTAATTATGGTATAACTCTAATTACAGAAGTAAATCTCATGATTAGCCTAAACAACCGCCCTTGATTTGATTTGTTCCGGAATTCCGCCGTGATCATCGATCGGTTACGAATATCTTGCATTTCCGTTATTGCGCTTCGTCTGAAGTCTGCCATATATGGTCTCGACCGCTGTTGGCCTCGATCTCGACGAGCACCTCGATTCTCGAGCTCGATATCTTATCTTCGTGCTCTGACCTAATCTATTACGAGACTGACGCTCGACGTGATTCCCTGGTCTCAATTAAATGGAAAAATCGGGCAAGTCCTATTTTAACCTTATACAAATAGTCCCTCGATTCTCAGAGTGTAATGAGAAGAAACGAGTTGAGCCTTCGATTTTATACCTCGACCAGTTATGACGTCACCCTTGTGACGTAAGCGACCGAAGTGTACAGTTCCCAAAATCATTAATGAGCGTTAGTTGATGGTCGGCCACCAGTGTCTTTGAACCGTCATAGCAAACATTATAAATAGGTCATCATCATAATTTTCTCAAACTTTACTTTCAAAATGTCCCTTAATCTTCAAAGCACTCTACTTCTTCAACCTTTTCTCAAAACAACAAATCTCATCTTCTTCTTTCTCTCAATCCATATAAAAATGGAAAAATATCTAAAACTGTTCCTCAAAAGGAAAAAGCTTCTTCATTGCGACAGGCCGGTGATAAAACGCCGGTGGAGCCACGCCTCGAGGAGTGTGTTCCTTGGGGGTGTGATCTTGCTTCCGACTTCAAAGTAGAGAAAACTTCATCGGTCCCTGGCCGATGTGAGCCAATGTCGAGATATATGTGCTCGATAACTGAGGATGACCTCGAGCAGGTGAAGAAGGATTGCAACTAGGGAGACAAAGAGGTGGTGATTCCGACCCCTGAAAAGTACATCACTACTTACGTGAAAGGGTTTCTAAGTGTTTACACTTACCCTTTCACGCTGGCCCTGTCGATCCCGTCATCATCGACTTTTGCTGCCAATACCGAGTAACCCAAGGTCAAATCCATCCCTCCTTTTGGCGGATCATTATTCTGCTCCGATTCTTTGTGAGCAAGGTCGAAGGGATGACTTTCACCCTCGACCATCTCATCAGAATGTATAGCCCCCCGTCTCTATCGAGGCGGGTGAATAAGGCTTCAGCGTCGGGCTACCAAGGTGTTGTTCTCGAGCATAGACGAGGTCAAGGATCGATGATGGATGGGTTGGTTCGTCTGAGTGAGGACTTCCTACATAATCCCGGCCGAGAAGATGTCATTCCCCGAGGAATGGAACATGAAGCGTAAGTACAAACCTCACCCATGGCCTCCATTTACTATCTTGTTTCCTTTGCTTTTTCTCATCGATATTCCTCCCTATGATGCAGCGGTTTCTTGGATGCGTGGTGCAATTCCGAACCTTGAGGGCTGGGTTCGAAAACTGGCATCGACCTCTTCATATGCCGAGCGCTCGTGGCGCGATTTGGCAAGGGGCCGACGGGAGGCCAAAAATCATGGTAAGCTTCTTTTCATGTAGTTGATGGT